TTCATATGGTATGAAGTGAGAGCTGATTCATATGATATGAAGTGAGAGCTGATCCATATCACTTATACTTAAATCTTTTACCCCTTTTAATTTTTTTTTTTTTTATGGCAATATTTTTGTTTTTAGCCCTTTTTTTTTTGAGAGCAGATTTATATCACCCATACTTAAATCTTTTACCCCTTTTTAAAAGTTTTTTTTCTATAGCAATATTTTTGTTTTAGCCCTTTTTTTTTTCCTCAGTGTTTTTCTAATTCTTAATTTCTTATTTTCTTAAAAATTCATATTGTAAACAACTATTTTAAACTACTGATAGTTACATCTTATATTATACATTTTCTAAACATCATTTTAATGTCATTGGAATGCAAATTTACTCTATTGAGAAAACTAGTTAAACTTAATTATTTAAAAAAAAAAATTATGGACATTTTTTATATTAAGATTGTTTTTGTTTTTTATGTTTATGTTGTTTTACTGTTTTATTATTTTATTTTTATTAGCTACTTGTGTTTTTTTTGTCTGAATAATTTAGCAAATAAAATCTTCTATGTAATAAAATAACAATAGATTTAAAAAATTTTTTTAGGGAATGCTCTAGACCAAAGGTTCCCAACCCAGTGCCCACGGGCACTATGAAGCCCACAGATTGATTTGTGTGTGCCCATTACTATTTGACCAAGACAAAAAAATTTCAAAAACACATTAAAAATGTGAATTAATTTTATTTATTTGTAAGAGTTTTAATTTTTTTGAGTGCCTAGGTTTATTAAATAAGTTTGTATGATATTGTATGTATGAGTGGTTCATACATACAGCATCACAATTGGAAATATATGACTGCTTCTTGTCAAGTCAACAGATATATCAGACACTACACAATTAGCAGTTATGATGAGAATGGTATTTAGTAACTTCACAGTAAAAGAGGATATATTGCAAACTTTACTTATGAAGGGGTGAGGATATTTGTAATACATTTAGAGCAAACACCTAGTCAATAAATATGCACATCCTTCCTGCTATAACCACCAATGGGGCCACCAACAGTAGTTGGCTCAATGGTCGAGCTCTGTTATGAAAATAAATTAAAACATGTTATGAAAATAAATTTAAAAATCAATTCTATTCGAGCACCTCCTTAAATCATTAAAATGTTAAAAAAATGTTAAAAAGTTGCAACAACAATTTTTTAACATTAGAGAATAATAAAAATAAAAAACGTGATCTAATTTAAGAAACATGATCTAAGAACATGGTTATGATCCTGCATACTGAAGTGCGTTAGCAAAGTAAAGTAAAATTTCTTAAAAGTTTTGTGTATTTAATTGAAGAAATAAAAATATTTAAAAATGACAAAAATGAAAATTTTAATGAGCTAGCTGACTCTCGATGGCTGATTGATTTGGGTTTTCTCACAAAATTCAACTCTTTAAATTTGGCGATGCAGGGAAAAGACAAATATAGCTAAAATGATAAGTTCTTTAAATTCATTTAAAATTGAATAGATATCCCATTTACAGATTAAGTCTCTTGCGCATTTACCACATGTGAAGAAAATGCTAGGTAACAATGAATTAAAGTAATCATTATTTATTACGCACCTTCAAGTGCTTAAAAAATAGTTTGAAGAGAGATATTTGCAGTTTACAAATACCAAGCTAATTGTTTCTTATTATATCAATTCTTTTACTTGCCAAATAATTGTAATGAAAATGGCCGCATGTATGGAAGACTTTGTTCAGGAAAAGGCAAAAGAAATAATAAGTTAGACCTTAAGTATGGTATTTTGCTAAATTTATTTATATCTTTCAGAATAAGAAGAAAGAAAGTGAACAGAGATAAGTTTTTATTTTTGAAAAAACACCATATAAAATTAAATCATTTTTTGGTTTGACATTTATGTGAATCATTATTTTCAAACATGAACTTAATAAAATCAAGATATAGATCTCTACTTACTAATGAGCATCTTTATGATTGTTTGCTAACAGGACTATCATCATACTCTCATAAATAAGAGGCACTGGCCAATGATCTGGAATGCCAAAGATGACATTGAAATTTGTTTTTTATTAGGCCAATGATCTGATATGCCAAAGATGACATTGAAATTTTTATTTGTTATTTTTAGTCAATGATTAATATAAGAAAATAAACTATGGAAAAATAAGAAGTTATGGAAGTTTGTCGATTAAAAATAGGTGTTGCCTGCCACTACTGATATTTTAGAATAGGCTCTAGAGTACAAAAAGGTTGGGAACCCCTGCTCTAGACCTTCAAATAATTGGGTCACTAATACATAATATTTTGGTATTGGTAGTTTTGATAAATTTGGTAAAAATTAACTAAAAATCCAAAAATTAAACTAAAAATTCAGTTGAAATTTAGAAATTTAAAATTTTAAACAAACTCGTTTGTAAATTTTTATTTTAATTTCAAAAAGTTTTTATTGGTAATTTCCTAAATTCAAACTTTTTTTATAATTTCTTTTTCTTTTTTCAAATTAAACTTAAGCCCATTATTTACAAATGATTTAAATTTTTATTTGTCTTTATTTTTTTTGTTTTTCATTTAAATTTAAATTTGTTTTGTTTGTTCTACGCATTCTTCTGCTTCATAAATATATCAAACCTTTTGATGATTTGCAATTTTGATTTGATTAATTACTGTTTTAATATTTTTAAGAACCAGAACTTTTATTTGAATAATTGCAGTTTTATTATTTTTAAGAACCAGAAGGTATCAATATATGAAGTTTCCAATGGATACAAAAAATAAATTTGTTATAACAATTGGATTATATTTCAATAGTCTTCAAATAAACTTTTTAACTTTACTAACAGAAAGAACATTGAGATTGGAAAACCTACTTCCAAGATTGTCAAAGTTATAAATATATATTATTGGTTTTCATTAATGTATGCTCTCAAAAACTTTAGCTTTAAAAATGTTAAACTTTTTAACATTTTTAACATAATAAAGCTCTTTTCATCTAAATATTTTTGAAAGTTTTAGGGTTTTTTGTTCCCAGGCTCCAAACGCAATTTTTAGCTAACTTACATTTGCATTTTCTCCATTTTACTTATTTTCACATTTTTCTAACCTTGTTCTGCTATATACACAATATAAACACATGCAAATTTTTTATTTAGATTGCACTGCAGTTAAGTAAGTTATTATGAATTCCAGGATTTAGAAAGTTACTTTGTATTACTTTTTTTAATAATTGTTTTACTTTTTTAATAACTGTGTTACTTTGGGTATGTTGAGCAATGAAGATGCAGACAATTTAGTTACTATATAAATAACCAATCATAAATAACCAATTAGTACATAAATAACCAATTAGTAATGTAAACAAAATTGTAATTGAGAGATATTACCATTTCTTAAATACAAAATTTGAAAAATGCTGTAAGACAAAAAAAGGACTCATGCTTGAAGGAAGGACCTTTTTTATTATTTAACCAATTTCAATTTGCATTATTTAATGAAAGTAAAAAGACGCATCTTAAAATGTTAGTTTTTTTTTGTAATAAGATTGTAATAAGACCAAATTTTCCATTAATAACATACAACATACCTAGGAGTTTCAAAGTTCAAGTTCAGTCAGGCTTGTTCTGAAAGTTCTCCTTTGGTTTTTTTAATTTGGAATGTCAAGCTAGCAGAAACAAAATTTAAATAAGCACTCGTATAATTTTCAGAGTGCAAAAAAGAAGTAAAAAAAAAAATTTCTTTTTTTCACTTTGCAAGTTTCATTTTTGATAAATCTAGATATTTGGTGATAATTGATTTCCTTTTATTTGAATTTGCTGTAGTTAGGTTACCTATTGTGTTTTTTATACAAAAACTTCAAACCTCAAAGATAGAAGTAACCCAAAAAAACTTCAAACATTTAAGATAAAAAATATCAGGCTTGTCAAAAAAGGCGTGTGATTTCAAGTCTCAATATGACCATGCAAATAATAATTTGTTTTGAAGATTTAACTATGGCTTTTAACAATGCGCTGAAAAAATTGGTTTTTAAATTACATTGAAAATAAATAACTCATTTTTCTTTTTTTAGATGTATGAATTAAATAACTTTGATCTTTGTTTCTTATGTTTTTATATTTTTAAAATGCATTTAAATAAAGTAACAATTCACTGCTAATGATTTTTTATTAAAATATTAATGAATAATAAATATATTTTTTTATATTTATATAAGTATATGCAAGTTTAAGTATATGTAAGTATATATAATATATAAGTATATATTGTATATTTTTTATAATAAATGTCTTTAAAAAATAAAAATCAACTTTTGAAATTAACTTTTAAAATAAACAATTTAATTATTATTCTTTTGTTAACGTTTCTGCAAAGAATTGTTAAGAATCTTTTTTTTAACTTTCAAATGTGCACATTTATTAAACAATCGTTTGATGTAAGTAGTTACTTTATTTGAAAAGGATTTTACATAATATTATGTTATAAAAACATTAATAAAGATAAACGATTTAAAGTTATTTATTCCAAACGTAATTTAAATAATCTTATCATTATAGTTTATTATTAGTTAAGTTTTTAGTTCTAGTTTTTTTATTATAGTTTTAGTTATTTTCATTTTTAGTTTTTTTTTTTTTTTTACGAAGATTTATTTGCTTCTTTTAAAATAAGTTATTAAGTTACTTCTTAATTGAGGTAAGATTTTTCCAGTGCTTTTTTAAAGTTTTCAAAACATATTAACAGCTGTGGTCAAGTTTTTAAAATCAAATAGTATTTGCATGGTCATATTATGACGTAAAATTGCACGCCTTCCTGAGTAATCCAAAAACTTCAAACCTTCAAAATAGAAGTAACTCAAAAAATAGTAAGACTTTTGCTAAATATATAAAAAGCTATAAATAAAGTTTCAAAATTTTATTATTTTATAGCTATGAAAAAACAATCTTAATACTCGAGCAAACATTTATAACTAAAGCAATGTACCAACATAACATATCATAACTACATACCACTTTCTCCTTTAAATGTAACATGGGCCATCATTAACTCTTCAGAAAGTTGTTTTTTTGCAGGAAGTCCTTTGCACATTTCTTCATTAAAACATTGGACACCATAACAGTTCTTTCCTGACATAAATGCAACATCGCAACCTTTTTCTTCACAACATAGCTCAACACAGAGTTGCATAGCTACATGCTCTGCAAGTTTACGAAAGTAACCAGCTTCAATGCCACCTGTAAAAATAAAAAAAAAATAAAAAAATTAGTTTCTAGTTTTGAGTTTGAAATGTACAATACAAATGATAAGCACAGTTTAGCATTTTTTTTAAAAGCTAGAGCACCAGCACCACTAGTACCATCGTACTAGCACCATCGTACTAGCACCACCATACTAGCACCACTGCTACCTGTAGTACTAAAACCATAGCATCACACAAAAAAGTTTGGAGCTATGGTTTTAAAAAACAAAAATCTCTACTACTACAATATGTGAAGAAAAATGAATAGTATATGAATGTATATATAGTATATATATATATAGTATATATGAATATATACTATATATATATATATATAGTATATATTCATATATACTATATATATCTAAATATTAATACTCTAATGAATAGTGCGCATAGTTATGCGTATTGTTTTACAGTTACGGTACGGTTCTGTATCTGTAAAATACACTTTTTAAGTAGTTTCTAGACTTTTCTTTACCGCGTGCTTTCTTTAAGATTTCCTTTCAACCTTTCATGGTACGAGTTCAAAATGTCCAAGTTGACATTAAGTAGATAATGTTTAGTTGCTTTAAATTATAGGTAATCTAAAATCTTTTTTAAAATTTATAACTAACTTTAATCCTTAGATTGTGTCTAGCATTAAAATATATTTATGGGTAGTTTCATGATTTCACATAGTTTTGGTTATGGGGATAAAAGCCATGACAACATTTTGTTATAAATTTATATTAATTTAATTTTTATTGAAAATTTTGTTATAAATAAAATTTATCTTTAGTATTGTTAATACTTTTGCTCTTTGAAAAAAATATGTTTCTGGCTCTTCAATAAATATATAATAATTTGTCTTGCATGAATGAATTTTGGTTTAGGATTTAATTGTGTTATTTTATGTTTGTGTTTCTGTATTCAATATAGCATTTATCATTTGCATACACTTTTATTTAAGTTTAATTGTTTATAATTTATTTAGGTTATTAGAAAGTTCATGTTTACAGAGTTATTATTAATCATAATCGAGTTGTTAAACCAAGGAAATTGTGGAGGTTTATTTATCATATATACTATATATATTATATAATAATATTGGAGGGAGTAAGTTTAAAAGCATTTTTAAATTTTTAAAAAGAAGTAAAAATACTTTTCAATATATATCTGTTTTCTGTGAGGTAGAATTAAAGTTTCAGTTTTTCAAAATTTATATTTAAAGTTTCAAGTTTTCAAAATCGTAATCTTTCAAAATGTCTGAGTAGACATTGAGTATATATAAAATCTTTTTAAAATTTTATAAGTAATTAATTTATTGTAATCTTTTTTAAATTGTACTTTTAAATTTAAAGCTTCGTGTTATACATGTAAATATTGAAAATATAGATTACTATAATTCTTAGATGGTGTCTACCATTAAAAGATATTTATGGGTAGTTTCATGCTTTCAAATGCTTTTAATAATTTGGATAAAAGCCATGACAACATTTTATTATAAATAAAATTTGTCTATAGTATTGTTAATACTTTAGCTCTTTAAAAAAAAATATGTTTTTTTTCTTTTTAAAAAATGTATATATGTATATATATATATATAAATATGTATATATATATATATATAAATATGTATATATATATATATATATATATATATATATATATATATATATATATATATATATATATATATATATATATATATATATATATATATATATATATATATATATATATATATATATATATATATATATAACTATGTATATCCTTGGAGTTGCGGCAGCATAATAGTGTGTTGGGGGAAAAAAATTTATAAACCTGCGTTAATAACCCGTCTTATTACCCGTTTTGTTCAATGTTTTCTCCCAACGCATGCCTTATGACGCTGTCTGCGAAGATATGTTGTTTGTTTCTAAAAATTTTTTTCTTTATTACAAACAAAATAAATTTTAACTTTTTTTAATAAGTTTTTGCTAATATGGTTGCAGGTTTTTCTTCACTTCTATCAAATAAACTTAAGAAACCTGTATTACTTTTGATGATGGCAAATTAATTTTATTTTGCATTAGTTTGGATTCTTTATATATTTGTTTTGAGAATTTTTTTTATATTAGTATGTATGTTTATATAATGTTGTTTCCATGATTTCAAAGTGGAGTGACTTGGCTAACGTGTAGAGCAAGATTTTTCAACCTTACCAGTCATGCGATGTTACTGCTTTAGGTCTAAGTGTTGCCTAGCCTTTAATATAACTATTCTGAAAACACATTGCATTATCTTTAATAATTTTTCGTGTAATGTTGTTACCTTTGGCTTATCTTTACGTTGGTGTCAGCTGTTAAAAATGATTAATAGGTAGTTTCATTATTAGAACTTACTGCTTTTATTTATTTACTAAAATTCATTCAAGACATCATTTCGCTATAAATACAATTTGTTTATCATGAAAAAACAATATTTAGCAACTACTACTCAGGTATCACAACAGCTTATCTCTATCAGGTACATTGATTTTCAATTCACATATGATGTTTTTCTTTGTATTTATTTATTCGTTACATTTTTAACTTCAGATTTATAGTGTATTTATTTGCTATAGAAGAACAAATCATTTTGAATTTTTTAAAAATATCTACTCTAATCAACATTTAAACTTCAATGTTGCATATACCATTTTTAAGTAGCTTTTAGGCTTTTTTGATGCTTTTCTTATTCAAGTGGTTTTATAAGCAAGGTCTGCAAGCAAATTTGAGCTGAAAAGTTTTTCAGCTTTCAAGGAGTATCAATGTTGTTTTCTGTTTAATTTAATTTGTTAAAATAGAGTAGTTTTAGTAAATAAATGTTTATTTGTTCTTGGTTTTTTACTTATTTGTTTTCAGATTCTTAAGAACTAGGCAACTTAGCAAAGCAAGATTTTTTTTTTTTAGTGCAATTGGAAAGAGCTAAAGTGCTTTTTAGTCACTTCAAATCAATTGTTTCTTTTTTTAAATAGAAGGGCTAATAATAAAAATATTTACACAGTCGAACTGTTACTGATTTAAGTAAGATTAATGTTTTGTTTAATTTTATATTAGATATATATTTTATGTATTTAACATGGAAAACTGACTGTAATTTTTGACAGGTAAGTTTATATACATAAATGTGCCTATATATCAAAATATTTTATATTTCTCTGAATCTATATGAATATTATCTCAAAGAAAAAATTAAAAAGAATAGAAAAAATTTGAATATATATACATACACATATATATATATATATATATATATATATATATATATATATATATATATATATATATATATATATATATATATATATATATATATATATATATATATATATATATATATATTACTTAAGACTGACATTGCTTCATTTTTTATACAAGATTCTGCATTTATTATTTTTGTGCATTAAGATTGTGCCTGAAGGCTTTCTTAATTTCGCAAAGAACTTAGAGCACAATGCAAATAACTTTGCATTGTGTTCTAAATTCTTTGCTAAATTAAAATAATGTCAATAAATTTTGTTTTATATTTTTCAGCCGTAAAAATATAAAACGTTCATTTATTCAGTTGTAACAGTTGTATAATCACTGGTAATATATATTTAATGATAACAGATGTATAATATTAGGCTCGAAGAAGTTATTAGTGTAAATGGTTATAGGTGACTTGAAATTGTTGTCATATGAAAGAAATAGATATAGGCGTGATAAAACTAATGTCGTTGAAATATAAGAAATTTTGATGAACCGAAAACTTACTTGCCAGAATTCAGTGTCAAGCGGTGCTGATGTCTATTTTTTTTTTAGTTGTCTTTGTCATCACTTGATTATTTTGCTTACTGTTGAAACATGGTTTTAATTTTGTAAATTTAATATGATGTGAAATTTACAATATTAATCACTTGTCAACAGTTAGAGAGAAGCTGGAACTTAATTAAAAAATGCTGGAAATTAACTTTTAGTTAAGGTAAAAATAATTTTGTTTATTGGTAGCATAATAAAACCAGTTACTGTTATTTGTTGCATGACTTTTTTATTTTTTCTAACATGCTGTTTTTAAAACACTTTCTGTCTCTCTCTTAGATGAGGCTTAATAAGAATTAGTATTGAGAATTATAGAGAGAGAATTGATTAAACTCTGTAATTACTGAGCTCTGATTAAACATGGTAAATACTGAGCTCTTGCATATTTTTTAATACTGCGATTGATAATTTACTATTTAAAGATATAATTCTTTAAAGTGTCCCTTGATTGTTCAAATATTGTAATAAATAAAATCTTTTAGTTTCAAGTATTTTTTTTAGGGATCGTCTATATATTACCATGGTGGCCACAGTCCTGGAATGTCCTAGATTTTTGCAAGTGTCCTGGAAAATTACATTTTTTATTTAAATGTCCTGAAATGTCCTGGAACTATTTTTTTTCTGAGTCAAGTTAAAAAATTACTAATAATATTAAAGTAGTATTTAATTTTTTATGCGAAAATTTTTGTTATATAAATGGTTTGAATTCAATTTTAAATAAGATAGTAGTAATAATAATATAATATTCTATTCTATAATTCAATCAATATGAAAAAAATATAACGTAAAGATAATTGATAATATTCATTTAATAAGATATAAAATGTCCAGAAAAACGCAACAAAATGTCCTGGAATTTAACTTTAAAAATTTTGTGGCCACCATGTATTACATAACGCAAAATTAAACATATAGACAAAAGAAATATCTCAAAAATCGTGTTTCTCTAATGGTCAACTATATGCTGCATTTTCAAGAACTAAAGCATTTAATAGTTTGTTTTTCAAAATTGATAAACATCTCATTCAAGGTATAGCAGGTAAAAAAATGTAACATAAATATTGTTATTTTTTTAAATATTCTTAATTTATAGTCTTTAGATTTTCATTACGAAAATTTACTGTTAAAGGTTGTGAGCACATTTTGTATGTACAACTTTATTTATCATTGTTTTTTGTGTTTTTTTTTCAAAGTTTTTGGTAAATATATCTATCATTCAATAGTTGTAAAATGTGTTTATACGTGTTACATAAAGTCATATTTGTTTATAGTTGTATATATGTTTAAATTATAAAAGCCAAAACAACAATTTATATCTTAGTTAGATTTTTTTTTTTAGTATTGTTAATGGTTTGGTACTTTGAAACAGGTTTTATAGTTACATTTTCGATAAATCTTTAACTGCAATTTCAAAATAGGTTACTATAAATAGGTAAATCGATTTTTGGTAATTGTGTGGTGGTTTTTGTTTTTTTTATCTTTGTAATTATGATATCATAATTTCATTACTTTTTTATTTTAGAATAACGTTATGACGCATATGTAAGATTTATAAAATAAAAAAACCTGATTTCTTTTTATTGTAAATTTTTGTTAGTTAAAAAGATATAAATATATGCTATTAGTTATTTTATATTTTATCTATTTTATGCCTAATAATATGTTGTACGTATTTGTAAGATTTATAAAATAAAAAAACCTGATTTCTTTTTATTGTAAATTTTTGTTAGTTAAAAAGATATAAATATTTGCTATTAGTTAATTTTATATTTTATCTATTTTATGCCTAATAATTTGTTGTACGTATTTTAAGGGGATTTTTGTAAATGGGGGGTCGTAACTAAAAACCTTTAAAAACATGGAGAGTATTGTAGTTTAGCGCATTAATATCGAGTTACTTAAGTTTTATTTATGTGTTTAACTAATTAGTTAGCTTAGTCTGTATTTGCAACACTTTTGAGGAAAGAAAGAAAACATTCTTATATATATAGATCATTGTTTTACATTTTATTATTTTATTTTATTCACCTGGCACCATTAAAGCAAAAAGAGGGGAGGAACCTCTTTATTAGAGTCAAAATATTTAGGAAAATTAAATTTCGAGTTACAAAAGGAATTTTTAGTAAATGGTGGCAAATTACCGTTTACTAAAAAATTAATGAAATACAGAGGCCAAACAAATAATATAGAAATGGTCTGTGTTGAACAGACTTAACAAGACTCGGGTCGGGTCAGCTTGGTCTACAAATTTTTATGTCTACTTATCTCTTATAATTTTTATTTTAGGTTTGTCGTATGATGCAGTAATGCATTAAAAAATTTGTTATACCCATGTTTGATCGTAAATTAAATTTTTTCGTTTGAAAGGTATTTGTACTCAGTTGCATAGTTATTTATAACAAACTTTGTTATTTTTAATAAATTTATTTAAATTATTTAACATTTTTAAGTTAACAATTTTCTTTTCTAAAGAACAATTAATCAAGGGGATACCAAAAAATTGATAATTCCTGTATAATATAAGTTAACTTCATTTTAATCTTAAAGGTTCGTATTATAAAAATTATTACAAGGATTTGGTTGATACTTTCGTCAATTTAAAGCATGACCAAGTGTTATTATTTTGTGTCAGTAACTAAAAACGTATTGTGTTAAACTCAGGAAGGTCGATGAAAATGGTTCTGCCTTACACTGTTATGACCTATGCCATTTGTAAATTACTTAAATAATGTTAAGTAGTAATTTTAAATGTTAAGTAGTAGTTGGTAAATTATTTTACCTCCTCATACATTTTATGTTAATTTTACAGATGGATTAATTTTTTCAAGCTGAAGACGATTTTCTAAAAGGGTATTAGTTAAGGTTATGCAACATTAAATTGTGGAAAACAGCCACTATAAATTAATTATGTAACAGACCGACCAAAACCCGTATTACGGGTTTTGGTCAGCTTTACGTAAACCCGTGTTACGGGTTGCTTTTTGCTAGTAGTATATGAATAGTATAATAAATAATACTATATATATATATATATATATATATATATATATATATTCATATATATATATATATATATATATATATATATATATATATATATATATATATATATATATATATATATATATATATATATATATATATATATATATATATATATATATATATATATATATATATATATATATATATATATATATATTCATATATATATAATATATTTAGAGATTTACAAAATGATATTGGTAGTCTAGGTATTATAATTTAAAAGAAATTAATCTTAAAAGTTAAAATTTATGCTGTTCTAAAAAATACCATTTAATTTAGCATTATAACATATATATTCTAAAGCATTATGACATATATATATATATATATATATATATATATATATATATATATATATATATATATATATATGGTATTTATGCGGTAGTGGTGTAGTGGTAGAGCGCTCGCTTCATAAACGAGTGGTTCCGAGTTCGATCCCCACCACGTCCCTGGTAGTACCGCGCTCAACTCGTTTCTCCGCGCAGCGGCCTTGCTCGTCAAGGTTCGTGTTTCGGAGTTATAGAGTTGAGAGAGGGTTATAACCATAATTAAGTAGCCTCCTCGTCTGTAGTGGCCTTCTCGGCCTTGAGGAGGTGAATTAAAATAAAATATATATATATATATATATATATATATATATATATATATATATACATATATATATATATATATATATATATATATATACTGTATCATTATGGCATATATATTCTGAAGCATTATGATACATATACTCTCAAGCATTGACATAAATATATCCTGAAGCAAAATGAAATATATTCTATATTACATATATATTATGTAGCATTATTACATATATATTCTACATTTATATTCTGACATGTTGTTAATTATATTATGTTAAAAATGAAAAAAAAACTTTTTGCTTATTTAATTTTTTATGTTAGATTTATAATTTCAATTTTATTTTTATTTATTTTTTTTTTCAAACAAAAAAATTGCTAAATTAAAAGTGCATTTTTTTTAGTTATTTAGCATTACAACTTTAGCAAACTTATATCCCGAACTTTCATAAAACCCAACAAAAGTTGCCTTGCCAACAAAAGTTGCCTCAAAACTCTCTGAGTTTAATTAAATTTTAAAAATAATTTGTGCTAATGACAAAACATGGCGAAACAGATGTTATTAATAAAATCAACAACATCAGTTTCACCAACATATACTGCTGATGAACTAATAGTTTTTCCTCTATCATAGATTCAATTAATCATTTATCAGAAAGAAACCCACAAAATTAGGACCTTATAAATTTATAAGTTCAACTAGATTGTCAACATAAAAGTATCATCTTTTCTAATAAACATTTTTGCCGGAGTTAAATTAACTTTTTTTTTCACTAACTAAATTTGTGCTGAGTTATTTTGAACTATTAACAATAAAACCTGAGTGGATATGATAAACACTTAAACCAAATTTTTTGACTGAATTATATTTGTACTGCTAATTCTGTAAAAAATAACAATATACATGGCAGTTACATACAATGCTATAAGTCTGGGATAAAGTAAGACCAACACAATCAGCAAATTTGCATAAGGTTCTGAGAACCTATTAAACTTCAAGTATACTTTGCTCTAGTTCAGACTCCAGACTCCATGCCATTTAAATTAATAATGATATTATTTTAATTACCTTATTTAAAATTTGCAGAGTTGCAGAGTAAATTATAAAATATTTACAGAGGATAATGAAGTTATGCATCTTTTAAAATATTTATAATTTAAAATACAACAGCTGTGGACCATGTGATTCAACACTTAACAATTTAGTATAGCTAGAAATATTAGAATTAGCATTTGGTTTGCTAATACTATTATAGAGTGCTGCAAGATCCACTACCTAAGATAGCTGTAAGCATTATAAAATAATTACAGTTATTTTAGCTAACTTAAACTATTTATGTTTCTTAAGTTTATTGCAAAATTATCAAATATACCTTTTAATGTGACATTGTACTGTATAGGACTTTGTGTGCATGATACATCTGAGGTAATAGTACGTCGCCATTTGAATGGAAATATATTTGTTGTAGAATAACCTTTAAAAGCAAAGTTATGCACATTAATTATATTGTATTTAAACATATATAAACTTAAATATAAAAACATATATACAAAACGTGTGGAGTTCAACACATACATCTATGTGGTTCAATACATACAATGACTAAGCATTTAGGTATGAGCAAGTACAATCTATGCATGAAGACCATTTACAATTTTTTTTAAGTGAAAACTATACTAGGAATAAGCCAAGCAAAATACACAGGATATCTACATCTATACACACACACAAGCTCAAATCTCAGTCAATGTAGCAGCAACGCCCTTGCAAGTTCTCCTAATTTAAGTCAATCTATGTACTGAAGTTCTTGTAGCTATGGGTGTGTGAGTATATACATAATACATATACATAATACATATATAATATATATATAATATATATAACATATATAATATATAACATATATAATATATATATATATATATATATATATATACATATATATATATATATATATATATATATATACACACACACACACACACACACACAAACACACACACACATACACAGCAGATAATATGTATCTAAGGACACAATTTCCTAATATATTTTAATTCATAGGACTCACATTATTTTATGAAAATGTGTGTGCTTTAATTTTTCAGAAAAAGAAGATAAAATGAAGATTAACGAATTTTAAAAGATTGCTGCCCCAACCCTCGGTTGATGCAGCAACACTCCCTTGCATGTTCTACCTAGATAGTAAGTTGATGTATGCACTGAAGTCCTCATATTATCTATACTAATAATGGTAAATCTAATAATGTCTAAATAATATTTAAACTTAAAGGTATCCCCAACTGCCAAGACAAGTTGTGTTTATATTTAAAAAAATGTTAAAAAAAAACATTTGGGCTTAATTTTTTTGATTAAAACTATATAATGAATGCACACCATTAAATTTAAAATTCACGTTTTAGTCGAAGTTCACTGTCTCCATTTTTTTTTGGTTCTCGTAGTCTGTATAATGTTAGCCGCAATCTGCAGACTTCATAATTTATACCATGTGTGTTTAATTCATAACAGTTTCGGTATATTACGTCATCGAATAAATTTTTCTCTTTCAAAATGTCATTTTTTTTTTTTTTTTTGCCACAATCACTAAATCATGTTTATTGTATAACTTTTTACTAACTACCCAAAAAAAGTTTATGATAAAATAAAGAATTAAATTTATAAAATTTATAAAAATAAAAATTTAATGTATAAATATTTACAGAAAACGTACTGGTTTAAACTAAATATAAACTAGATACTAAAAGAATAATTTTACTAAAGCGTTAAAGTTAATTTAAAGTATAAACTGAATAAAAAACGAGTGACTTGAATAAAACATATAAACTAAACTAAGTAGAAAATAAATATTAAACGAATTATTTTACTAATAACCATTCAAATCAAACTAAATTAAAGTTAAAACAAATATTTGTACTAAAATATACAAAAAATATTTATAATAAAAATATAAAAACAAAGAATCGCATTAAATTGTTCGCTACCAGCCGAACAAAAATCTTTTTGTAGCAACTGCACATTTTTTTGAAAAACATTTAAATAACAAACATTGCAATAATTTATATATAAATAATAGCATAACAATTATTTAAAATTTGATAATAATAGTTTTTAAAACGCATCATTAAATAATAAGAAATGCAAAGTGCTTAAAACTATTGTTTTTATAAGTAGTAACTAGTTAACTAAAACATTAAGTGCGAAACAAACCTCATTTAATGAATAAAAATATTTTTTCTTCAAAATAATTTGGTAATTACTTAACTAAATACTTAACACTTCTACAAGTTAAGTTTTACAGTGTTAACGCTGTTTTATTTTATAACTAAGTTTAAAGTTTTTTTTAAAGATAGATTATTCAAGATTTTTTAACTTTGTGATAACTTTTTTATAACTATACAATATAGCTTTTATTTTTTCTTGATTATCTAGAGAATTAATTAAACCTTTAGAACAAATAAATTCTATGTGTCTAGAATAGAAATTTATGTACAAAAAAAGATAAATTGTAAAACATACTCGAAAGCCGCTCCCAGTGGCTTGCGGTAGTGAAAGAGTTAAACGATAACTAAATGTAAATTAAACATAAAACGAACAATTCTTCTAAACCATATGAACTAAATATAAAATGAGAAACGGCATCATACTGCCTTTATTTTTTCTTTGCCAGCGAACTCTAATAATCACAAAATATGTATAACTGTGTCATGATTTTGGCTTGCTTTTAAAACAAAGTAATAATAAAGCAAGTAAAAAAAAATTATAAATAGAAAAATATATATATATATATATATGTATATATATATATATGTATATATATATATATATATATATATATATATATATATATATATATATATATATATATATATATATATATATATATATATTTGTATAATTTTTTAATAAATCACAAATATTTTTTGTGATTTGTAATAAATTATACAAATATTTGATTTTCTGATTGTAGTAGAGTAAAAAATACTTATATCTTTAAAAAAAACAAAAAAAAAAACCGCTATCTTAAAAAGATATTGTGATGACGTCATATACCAAAACTGTTATGAATTAAACATGTATGGAATAAATTATCAAGTCTGCAGATTGCGGCTAACATTATACAGACTCTGAGAACCAAAAAAAAAATGGAGAAGACGAGCTTCAACTAAAACGATAATTTTAATTTTGTTGGTATGCATTCATTATTTAGTTTCAATCAAAAAAATTTAGTCCAAATGTTTTTTTTAAACATTTTTTTTAATATGAACACAACTTTTCTTGGCAGTTGGGGATCCCTTTAAGAACATAGTGTTATAAGATTTTTTTTTTGCACAAATTACAATATATAGTATTAATCTTTCTAAAAATTCTAAAATCTTAATAAACCCTCTTTGAATAACTTTTAAATTTTTAAGAAATAAGAATCGTTAAATCACTAACTTGTATGTCTTTATTGCTGCATACTCAATTCTACATTAAAACACATATAATGGGATAGATAAGGGTTTACAAATAAATATTTTGATTATCACTTATACCTATATTACCTATTTTTATTGCAATAGAGTTAATTGAAAATAATATAAACAGTCTGTAAATATGTCACAAAAGCATTTCCTAAAGTTATTTGAAAAAATAAAATAAAAAAGAATGAGTGAACAAAAGGACATAGAAATAGCTTGGGAACTAGTGTTAATTAAACATGGTTAACCTATTTGATTATACAAAGTTTTACCCATTCAATGAACACACTTTCTTTAAACTTAAATCAAACTTGAAAGAAGAATCCCATTCCGTTCTTGATTCTGCTTTATACACTGTAGACTGTAGATGTGTGAAACGTCACTGATGATGTCATACTGAAATAGAGAATAGCGGCTTCAGTACTAACATCAACTGAGAGTTTAAATCTGGCCAAGCAGAACCTATGTATGAAGCAGTATCTACACTTTTAATCAGTTTACTATATTAGCAAAATGAATTAAAAAATTTTTTTTCCCTTCTTTTTCAGAAATTTGTGTTTATTATGGCACGCATTTCTAAGATTGAGCAAAATAAATTAATACAGTACCTAAAGTTGCTCTAGTAGTATTTATGTATATATATATATATATATATATATATATATATATATATATATATATATATATATATATATATATATATATATATATATATATATATATATATAGTGCTTGAAGCAGAGGAAAAAAAGTAATGGGATGGTGTTTGGTAAATTAAAAATATATTTCTGCGTAATCATTGTTATATATAAATATTTATAAAAAGAGATGGTTTATACTTCATAAAAAAATGACGGGACGGCATCCAACCGCACCCCGTCCCACTTCGAACACTGTATATACATGTAAACACATATATATATATACATATATTTAGATAAATATACATTTAATATATATACATATTATATATACACATACCAGGGTGTTAGCCAGATGACACCCTGAATAATGTCAAATTGCAAACTAGTTCAAAATTTCCATAAGTTCAAAAAATCAAAGTAAAAAAAAACAATAACCTATATCAGGTTTAGATTCAAAGTGTTATGCAAGATACATAGAAATACAAAGTGTTATGCAAGATACATAGAAACACAAAGTGTTATGCAAGATATGTGAAAATACAAAGTATTATGCAAGATATGTAGAAATACAAAGTGTAACAAGATACATAGAAATACATAGTTAAAATAAAATGATTATTATTGTCACGTTTAGATTTTTTATTGCACTAATTATATTATTATTTTTTATTTGTTTTTATTATTTAAAACTCTTCATTTACATTTTTACTGCATTTTATCTGAATTAGAAAATTAGAAAATATATATATATATTTAAAAAAAGACATTTAAATAATAAAAAAAATTATATTTGCAGAGATAAACGTCGTTTTGAACATTCTTCATAATAAGTTAAGAACGTCTTTTATTGAGGTAATTAAAAATACTAAACTTGCTAATAAAGTACACGAAAATAACAACAAAAATTCAAAAATGATACATTGTAATTCTTTTTTTATTTGCATAAAACACAAAAAGGAATATTAATTTACATAAATTTACTAACACATAAAACATTATATATCTAAAATTACTACATATTAAAATTTGCCATTAAAATTTACTTGCCACCCTCGTGCTGTAAATGCAACTTTAGAGCCTCCTGTCCTAAAATTGCATTTATGACCCTTAAAATATACTTTAAAAGCTTGATAAATTACGCAGATTTTGCAAGTTTTTTGATAGATTTTTTGTTGAGAAATTGATTGACAGTACAAATCAAAGAAAGCTTTCATTGAATTTTTTGAGCCTATATATTCCAACTGCTGTACTTGAGAAGAAAAGTTTGGTTTAGAATATTTCATGCTATCTTTGGCTAAGGAATAAAAATTCCTTCAACATCATGAGACGTTACAACTCAAACTGAATACTTTGAGGAAATTTTTTTTTTAGGAATTTAGACAAGATTTGCTACAATTTAAGGCATCACACTTAATCATTAAAAAAGTGCTATTTTATCAAGATGTATCATTTAAAGCTGAAAATCACGAGTTTGTAGACATGATTATTTCATTGAGACCAGGATATGCTGCCCTAAACTGTAAAATGCTTAGTGGAAAGCTCCTAAAAAGATGTCTGGCATTACAATGTCTTGATGAAATCTCTTAGTATGCTCCTCAATGACATCACTTATGTTTCAAGTTTCTCTGTCTTCAACATTACTTTCATTTGGGGTCCAACAAATAATTAAAATTAAATAATTTTTAAAACCACCATCTTTTATCAAAGCTATCTGATCATTGTTCAGATAACTTTGAAAACATGAAACAAATTTCTGGTTAGCTGACTCTTAAGATATTCATTGCGTCATCCTACATAAAAAAAAAGGAAAAACAACATAAAGCAAAATAGATATAAATAACAGTCGAGTTTAAAACTTCATTAAAAATTAAATGCTAAAATAAATGGGTAAAAAATTTAACTATAAAAATTTTTTAACTAAGATTTAATTAAATCTAAGTAAAAGATTTAATGACTTTAGAGAGTATGATGAGAACTGTACTTACATTTTGTAATGGTTGTGATAACAGCTGGTAGACTGTTATCATGTGAAAAAGGGGCTGCAGATGATGATATGTCTGGATATTAAAGAACTTGTTTTCCTTTAGTTTTTCTGCTAATCATACAAAATAACAGTCATTGTGATGGTTCTTCAGCATAATTGGGAACATTTTTTTAATTTTTAAACCATCCTGCTAGAGTAGCTTGGCAAGATCCACATATCACGCGAAGTGCCAATGGTTTCTCTTGATCACCCATGGACAATCCAAAATACTTTGCGTATCCTATTCACAATAAAGTACCTTTTAAAATCTTATGTAACACCTGCTTTTTTCCAATATATCCACATACATAGCAAAACATATCAGGAGAATTTTGACACTAGTCAGCACAAATATGCAGGTTTTGGCAGGAATGGCAGGCTATAACCAACACCTGCCTGTGGAAATGAGTTTACATGGGCAAAATAAAGCCGTGAAAATCATAAACTTTTTGGTTTAAAAAAAAAATATGTTGATATTTTTTATGGTGGCTTTTAACTCAACTACGATTTACGAAATTTTGAAATTTCGTAAATCATAGATTATGACATTTTTGATTTTCAACAGACAATTTTGGATTTTTATATTTTACACCTAATTAAAACATGTATTACTAATTGTCCAACTTACTAAATCGTTGACCTATTGTACTTTTTACCTGCTGAATTTTCAACCTTCAGTATTTTCAATTTTATAACTCCACTTTTCCGGTATGTATTTTGTATATTTTGTAGCTGATTTGAATATGAGTCAAATTTGATAAGTCTTGGCGCAGTGGTGGAAGCGCTGTCTTCAGAATCAGGGGGTATAAGGTTCGATGAACTCTTGGAAAACTTATGGATTGTTAATTTTTTAAAAAATTTTTTTGAAGTTTAAAAAAAAAACGTAAATATAATTGGTTAAAAATTAATTTATCTCAAATTAGTTGAAAATGAAAATCTATAAAATAGATCAAAAAATAGGTCAAAAAATAAATTGGTCGAAAACAAAAACTTCATAAACCAGTTGAAAATAAAAAAGACTATAATCGGTTGAAAACAATTTAAGCCTCAATAGGTTATCTGAAAATTAGTTCCACTTTTCAGTAGATGTTCTTTTTGTAGAACAACTTAGTAGATTGAGATTTTTTAAGGTCTAACTATCTGACATTTTTTTTATTTGGCTATTCTTTAAAAACTAATTACATGATGTTTTTTCAAAATGAATGACAAACTTAAAGTTTAAAGCAGTTTCTTTTTTAAATAATGCACTAAAAAAAATTTTTGTTGATTATTAAGTAATACTATGATGTAAAAAAATAAAAAAATGAAATCAAACAGTTTTTTCAAACAGTGATGGTAGACTATTCTGTATACTTATTCCGTATTATGTTACTTATCTTACTTTTAAGTTAAATAACTAGTATGTTTAAAAGCAGGCAAAACATACTGTTGAATTTGCGTTGCAAATAAATTTAACATGTTAAAGTTCAACTTGAGACAAATCAAGAGTATATTGAAACAAAAACATAAAAAAATAAGTGAAATGCATACAAATAGCTTTGATAAAAAAAAAGTGAAGTGTAACTTTGAAAAACTATTACATAAACTTCAAGTATCCAACTCATTTATTAAAAATTAAGTTACATTACAAAATTTTCATAAAAATTTTGTAATTAATGTAACTAAATCAAATTTTCATTGATTCATTCAATTTTGTTTACAAATAAGAAGAGAAATGAATGAACTTTTATAATAATACATAAAAGTATGAAATATTTTTATTAATAAAACGATTATGTTATAACATATTTACATTATCAGTTATTTAATAATTAACTAAACAATAAAATAAGTGTAAAAATAATGATATAAAAATTTAAAAAAAAAAATATTAAATGACTGTTTTTCTGCCTTTTTATTGAAAAAATGACAAATCCCTTTGGAAAAATTTCAGTGGAAATATCAAAAACAAACATAATTTAGATTTCTTGAAAAAGCCCATGCAAGACCATCTATGTGGGCAGTCCCCATAACGCCCAAGTCCATTTTAGATGGACTATTTGAAGTTTCTGCACTCACTTG